AGGAAGGTGCGTGGATCTGTCCCTGCTCTGCTTTGGGGGCCTAACGGGGCACTGCTGCAGCAGGGACTCTTGCTGTGCCCCAGGTAAAGCTCCGCTCCCGGAGGGCCCGCAGACCCCACATGGCGACGTCCCTCCCTGCCTTCTCATCCTGCCCCGGCTGTGTGCGCGTCCCCTTCCTGTCAGCATGATGCTAACCTGCTTTTTGTGTCCCCCCGTGCCCGGCTGTGTCTCCCCACAGCATCCAGCGAGCAGCCGTGTGGATCCTGGAGAATTATTATCACGATTTCCCAGTCTACAATCCCGCCCTCCTCAACCTGCCAAAATCCGTCCTGTCCAAGAAAATGTCCGGGTTTAAAGTCTATTCCCTCGGCGAGGGTGAGCTCATGTTCCCTTGGCTTCTCCTCTCGTTCTTTCTCTCCTCTGCCACCCTCCCATCCCCGTCCTGGTGTTTTGCCCCGCTCAGGCTCCTCCTTTGTGCTGGGCTCCTCAGCAGCTCTGGTCCTTCTGCCTCCCTCTGGGAACTGCTCTGGGCTCGTGTGCATTTTTTCTGGCCAACGTGGGTGATGTGGGTCCTGGTTTCCATCCCACATCAGTGACGCCTGATGCAAGCGGGAGCAGGCTGAGCCTATCTGCAGGATGGGCTGTGCCGGGACCAGCAGCGTTACAGGGCATCGGGGCAGGGCTTCGAGCACGGGGAGACTTAGAGTACAAGACCTTCCTGGGGCCCTTCCCGCAGGAAGCGTATTGCAGTGTCAGTGCTGCCCACAGCCAGGGCTAATGGGCTCCTAGGAGAGAAGATGCCCCGCGGCTCTCTGAGCCGTGTCTGCAGCGTGCGGCTGTGGCTAGAGACGTGGAGCAGGGCTGGTGCAGCCACGCTGGGCTAGCCGAGGGCAGGGAGGAGCATCAGGCATCCTGCAGGCTCCGTCCTCCTCTCTCTCACCTCTCCCCTTCCCTCCAGAAAACACAACGAACAACTCCACAGGCCAGTCCCGAGCTGTCATCGCTGCGGCTGCCCGGAGGCGCGACAACAGCCATAATGAGTATTACTACGAGGAGGCAGAGCATGAGCGCAGGGTGCGGAAGCGCCGCGCCAGGTACAGGGCCGGAGGGAGGGCGACCGCTCTGGGTAGCCTGGGGAGATGGGGTGCCGAGACCTGGCAGGCCCTCTGCTCTTCAGAGCAGCTCTTGCCAAGCCTGGTTGTTGCATGGCAGTTCAGATCTCCCTGCAAAATTATTTGGGGTTGAAACTGGGTTCTTGTGGTCTGTAGGAGCATAGGCTCTGCTGTCTGAGCTGTGGGGCAGGACGCCGATGAGCAGCTCCCCCTAGCCCCACAGCTGCCAGAGGCCCTGGGACCAGGGGATCTCCTGCCTGTGGCCAGGCTCTGCCCTGCTGCAGCTGCAGGCCATGGCCTTTCTCCCCCCAGGCTCGTGGTGGCCGTGGAAGAGGCCTTCACCCACATCAAGCGGCTGCAGGAGGAAGACCAGAAGAACCCGCGGGAGATCATGGACCCACGGGAGGCAGCCCAGGCAATTTTTGCCTCCATGGCCCGGGCCATGCAGAAATACTTGCGCACCACCAAGCAGCAGCCCTACCACACCATGGAGAGCATCCTGCAGCACCTCGAGTTCTGCATCACCCACGACATGACGCCCAAGGTGCGCGGGAGCGAGGGGAGCCGGAGGCGGGCAGGACAGGTCTCTTCTCCCTTACTGGTCCCCTGTCACCAGGTTTGCCTGGGTGCCTGCCAAGCTGGTCTGGAGAACCAGGGATTTAGGTGTTTTTTGCCCACAGTGCCATGTAAGAGAGCATCTCCCCTGGAGGACAAGGGATGGGGGCTCTTTAGTTGCTGGATACAGCCAGAAAAGCGAGTATAACCCCAAGGGAGTGACACACAGCGATGGGAACCTGGTCCCCAGCTGCTGGACCTGGCACATGGGGATGTTTTTTCCAGTGGGGCCTGCTTAGCAGCTTGAGACTGTGGGGAAAAAAGGCTGAGCCATGTTGAGGTGACGTTTCCATGTCCCTGCCTTCCTTCAGGCATTCCTTGAGAGGTACCTGAGTGCTGGGCCAACCATCCAGTATCACAAGGACCGCTGGTTGGCCAAGCAGTGGACGCTGGTCAGCGAGGAGCCAGTGACGAATGGCCTGAAAGATGGGGTGGTCTTCGTGCTGAAGCGCCAGGACTTCAGCCTCGTGGTGAGCACCAAGAAGATCCCTTTCTTCAAGCTCTCAGAGGAGTTTGTGGACCCCAAGTCGCACAAGTTCGTCATGAGGCTGCAGTCAGAGACTTCTGTGTGAACTGAAGAGGGATGGAGAGAGGCTGGGGGTGACACCCTCTCTCAAGGATGGGCTTGCTGCAACTAGGCCTCTCTGTCTCATCCTCCCGGTCTCTGACAGGGCTTGGGAAGGCTACCGCTTGAGGGCAGAACTGTGACAGCCATCTGGAAGCAGTGCCTGTGTCTGGCCCCGTCACCTGCCTGTGACCACTCGCCCCGCAGCCCTCTGTCTCAGCTTGACCCGCGTTTGGGTGGGCTGAGTCCCTTCTTCCTCGTCCCCGTGCTCTCCAAAACCCAGGTCCTTGTAGCAATCCCTAGAAGGTGCATCCAGCGAAGGACAGTGTCACAGCCAGAAAGGAGACCGCATGTTTCAGTGCCATAACTCAAGGGCTAACTCTCCATTAGATGTTCTTCACCAGCGTCCTCAAGTGCAGTTGGGTCTGAAGGACCTTCTATGCTTTCCTGTTTTCTACTTGGCAACTGTCCTGTCTCTGGCCTTAAAACATCACCCAGTGTCTGGGGTTGGTTTTTAATAATAGAGACTTTTGGAGTATTTTGCAAACACCTCTCCAGTCTGTGGCTGCTATGAAAACCTGCCTGACAGACCCATGGGTGGGGAAGAAACTAAACTGACGATGCTCCCAGCGACAGCCTGGCTGTACAAACGTCCTCCTTGTGTCTCCACTGATGCTTTCCACACTCAGCTTTTAACAAAAGCAAGAGAAAGACTGATTTTTAAAAAAGAAGTTTTAAAGTGATGGTTTTCCCTGCTGTGCGTGTGCTGTCTAAGGAGATCTGTGTTTCTGTGAATAGCAGCTCACCCTGAGCCAGTTCCTCCACTCCCACCCCAGCTCCGAGTGTCTCTTTGCACGAGGTTCTTTGCACCATTCCTGCAGCGTAAGGAGGCCTTAAAGTGGGTGTCAGACACGTGCCGGCTGCCAGAATGGTGTAAAAAATCGTCTCAGAGTAGAAGCAAAAGTCTACTTTTCCTCTCTCTTTCATAACGCCGAAATAGCCAGCGAGAACGATGAATTGCAGGATTCACAAAGAAATGACTTCTGATGTGCCCGAATCCAGGGGCTTTTCCATGCTGTGGCTGAGGGCAGTTTGGAGGCACAGTATGTGGTGTGCCAGGAGTCCCGGTTTGCAGGCAGAACAGCGTAAAGTGTCTCTTGGAGTCCAGAGCGGTGCCTAGAGTCAGCAGAGTGAAACAACAACTTCTCTCCAAGGCGTGATTGTAGACTGTGGTTCATGGAGGTCCTTGGTTAATGCTGCCTGGCTCAGATGTTGACGTGGCTGCCCCTTTACGGCCGCATCTGCAGTCCTCCCAGTCCGCATTAACGCTTCCCATGTAAGTTGGGGAAGGGGAGATGGAGGCGCAGAGAGGTGAAGAGAGCCAGCATTGAGCACCTTATTCCTGGTGGGGGGAAATAGCTGTTTCCAGAGCGCTGGCACAAGCAGAGCTAAGGGAGAGCACCTTGGAGTCCCCTCGGCCTCCGCCAACTGAATTTGGGGCCCTCGACTTGAGTAGCCTTCTACTCCCAACGCCAAACCGCTCCTGAAAGCACACACAAAAGGCTGGTGGGATTAGGCATTCCCCAAAACAGCACCCAATAGCACAAGGCAGCAGAGGAGCAGGCTCCTGCGCTGCCAGGTTCGAGAGGCCAAGGGGGACATCAGCGGGGCGCCTCTAGGCGCAGCTGCTGGCACGAGGGGACGCAGGTGGCTGGGCTCGCCCAGGTGCAAAGGAGCGAGGCAGAGCCCAAAATGCATTAATTACCCCAGGGCGAGCAATCCTGCGATTCATCCCTGCAGCAGCCAGCCGAGCCCCTCTCCCTCCCCACTGAGTCCGTGTGTGTGTGTGTGTGTGTGTGTGTGCGCGTGCACGTGTTGTGGACTTACCCACCTGGCGAGAGTATTGTCACTGTAGTGTTTTTTGTCATTTAGCCAGTTCTTTTCCAGTGGGATCTGCCTTCCCGCGGGGCCTGTATGAATTCTGCTTCTGCTCCTTTCGGCATGGGGCAGAGCGAGGTTATGAAGGGCCTGGCCAGGAGGGTGGCTGGCGTGTCTGGTCTGTGTCAGGTTTCCGCTAGGTGAATGCAAAAGCTTTTGCCTTTCCTTATTTTTGTTAAGGTTACAAATACCTCATGGAGTTGTTTCTTTCTCGTCCCGTTGTCCGGCCGTGTCCTGCTGCCAGGGACGCGTTGTGGGGACAGAGGGGTTGATGGCAGCGCCCTGTGCTGCTGCCCCCGGTGCTGTTGCTGTGCAGGTTTGGGGTGGCTTGGTTATAAGACCTGCCCAATTTCTTCACTGTGATTTGCAGTCTTGAAACTTTATTTTATTCTAAGCACTAAGCTGATAAAGGGTTGTGACTTCGGGGTGATGAGAAAGACCGACACTGCTTTGCCCTGGCCATCATGGTTGTGGTTGTTTTCCATGGGTTCGGATGATTGCTCCAATTTGCTTTGATCCTGTCCTGTTAGACCCAGTTTGGTTAGATCTTTTACCATCCCCGTCACCCGTCTGCCCCGTCCTTCACACTCCTTCTGGACAGTTTACAGTTGCAGTGATGCTCCTAAGAAGCGGTTGGATGCCAAATGCTTTTCTTTCTGGGCTAAAATCCTCCAACCAGACACCCCTGCTTGCCATCTTTGCTCCCATACACATGTGCTTTCACCAGTTGACTTGTCTTCTCTTTGTGTTTGCACAATATCCTGTTCTTTTCCCCTCTCTTTTCACCCAGATCTCTTGCCTGAAGTTACCCGTGTCCCTTCCCGACCGCAGGGCGCTGCTGCCACCTGCCTGCGCGCACTGGCCCGGGAGTGCCCTGGTTGATGGCCTCTGGGGAGCAAATGCCCCGTTTCAGCCCCGCTACCTCCCTCTCCCACCCCAGAGGAGCTGGGGGCTTCCCTGCTAAATACCAGGAGCACAAAGAAGATCCCTCGCAGTGGGCGTAACAGGTTGTCTGTGCCTCCTGGCACGCTCGAGGGGTGGAGGGGGACAGCGCAGGGTCCCAGGGGTCTGTCCCCATCGGTACCACTGCTCTGCTCCTCTCTTTTGCAGGACCTTCCATTTGCAGGTTTCTGCGGCTTTATCATCCGCGGCTCCGTTTCCCGCCTGCATCACCCCGCTGGGGGCCGTGCCCTGGCATTACCTCGCCAGGCTGCCACCGGCCGGCCCCAGGCTCGTCCTCAACCAGCCCCAGCTTCCCACTCTCCTGAGCTGGGAAAAGGACCCCAGCAGGCGCTGGGCTGCATCCCGCTCTGAGCCAGCTTCCAGTCTCGTTTACACCAGCCCCACGGTGCCAGAGTGACTCTACTTGACGTCCCTCCGGGTGCAAATCCTGACAGGTTTCCCAGTGCTTTTGGGGGTGCTTTGCACCCCAATGCGCCCCGTCCTCCCCAGCAAGCGCACAGGGCACTCTGGTGTCTCTAAGGTCTTCCAGCCTCTGTCAAAACTAAACGAGCCGGGTCCGGTTGTGCCGAGCGCGGCTCCCG